AACAGCATTAAGTGCAAGATGCAGTGATCGCTCCCGATAGCACCCTTTCAGCATTGCCTGGGTTCTTGCAGCAGCTGGATGGAGCTGTGTTACAGCTGTTTGGCAGACACCAGCAGAGCTGGTGGTACTCCTTTCTTGGGTGGAAACTTGAATCGTGCAATTACTGCCATTATAAAAGGTTTTGGGTAACTATTTACAAAATACAGCTTATACATTTATCCTGCTATCCCTTCCTCAATCCTCATCAGTGCAGCTGAAACAGGCACTGCTGTGGGTTGCTCAGCCATCATAGACGGTAGAGGTCGGGCAATAGTCTGATTTTCCCCACCAGTATTGTGCTTTCCTCCGGTAAACTTCATGTCCATATTCTTTCCATCATGGCTTTGGTAAAGAAACCAAGTCCCTCATCTTTATTCTTGTGCCGCAGTTGGACCGTGGGTTGGACTGAGCCCCTCAGCATTGCAGCCCTGAGCTGAGCACAGACTTATCTGCTTAAGAACAGACTTGGTTTTGGTCTCATGCTGTCACACTTACTAAGTTCGTTGTTTGCTGTAACTGTACCTCCTTCAAACCTCCCATTTTCAAACACAAAATTAACGTGCCGCATCATTTCAGCGTAAGGGTAAGTCTTTCTGTAGAAAGATACCTCATTGAAGCCATGTAATGAGGAGTCATGTTGTTTTCTTTTCTCCTGAAGCTAGCTCAAGTCCACTGCCATCAACAGTAGCTGTTGGTAGGACAGGCTCCCCAAGACCCCATCACATTGAGCATCACCTTGCACCACGTATGTCATGTTGAACTCAGCCAGACTATTCATTAGCAAAGCACATGCAAGTAGAGGACAGACATCCCGATTGTTCTCATCCCCACAAAAATAGCAACAAATTAGGAGTACAATACCTCTCATTTCCTCTTGTTCTGTGGGGGCGAGCACAGGAGGAGCTGGGCAGAGAGATGGCATTTGCTGAGAAAGCTGGCACGATCGGGAGTATGTTGGAGGCTGTCACAAGGAATTAAGTTAAGGATGAGTGACCTGGCATGGGGAGGGCCAGGTGAGGATGCCACAAGGGCAGCCCCACGGAGCTGCCCTCCAGCCACTTACCTTCCCTTGCCTCATCTATAAACATCAGTGATTGCCCTGTTATCTATGGGATGTTTTCCTAACTAATCACGTTAGGAAATTAGAGTTTCTTAATGACTGCCAAGAGGATTGCTGTTTAGCTCAACAGAGAGAGGACAGGTGCCTGCATGAACTTAAAGTTCATGCATTTGGTACTCTTGATAGAAATTTCGTAACATTTGTGTTGCTTATGTTGTCTGGCATCCTGGAAAGGTCCATCATTTCTCTTCGAAACACTTGGGTACTTCTTACTGCTAAAACAATTTGCTAAGCCTTGGAGAACTTTCTCATTTATTTACTTGTTTAGGATGTTTTCTGCTTCCACATCTGATTAAATGAGTAAATGCTTTAATTTTTATATCATATCAATAAAGCTATAGCAAAAATTACATCATCTCTCCTTTTTTTAGGCCTGAGAACTAAGCATATTAGTGAGGGCTGAATCAGGACTCTTACAAGCCAGGAGCAAGAGGTTTCACAGGCTTGGCTGCCTCCAACCCGCATCCTCAGACAGCTAAAGAAAACAAGTAGCATCATTCCCATTCTTTGGGAGAAATCAGAGGAAATGAAGTTTCCTTGCAATTGCTGTGTATGTTAATTACAGTTATTTAGAGAGACCACAGTAAGGAGAGGTCAGCTTTGCTTTGCAGCGAAACAGAGAGATCCTGCTGGTTGATGAAGTGATGCTGCACTGCACAACATTTATTATTGATACCTTTAAGAGCCATTCAAAGCTCTGGTCCTTTCGGTAGCACCAAGAATCTATTTGCAGAGCTGTTGGAGAGGCAGCTCCTGCCCCTCTCCCATGGGGCTGAGGCCACCATCAGCCAGGTTTCTTGATCACCTTTCACAGGCACAGCCCCACAGGGAATGTTCTCCAGCCACCACGATGTAGAGCATTTGTGCATTTGTCTGCCTGGCCGAATCCATCCCTTGCTGTGCGAGGTGCTAGTATCCCTGTCTCTCCTGCTATAGCTTCACGGTCAATTTAAGCTGATCTAAGCATGAGCTGCAGTCAAAAGGGAGGGCAAAATCCTACTGCCCAGGCCTCAGACACCATCCCTGTGCAAAAACGTGCCCTTGGCATCAGGTTTGAGACCAAAATTCTCTCTTGAAAAAGTAAAGGTCCCACTGGGGTGAATTTTGCATTTGCTTCTAGCTGCAGTGGTATTAAAACAAGAGAGTGCAATGTATCAAAGAGCAATTTAAAAACAAAGTAGTAATGTCTTGTTGAATGAATCCACTGTATATTTTAAAAAGGCAATATGCAGTATGCCAGCTGATACACTTTTATCTATCTTGTGGTGTTTGGTGCTCTGGAGGGCTTTGAGCATCTAACAGCTGCATTAGGGTGCAAGTCCAGCAGGAAGCCTTGCAAGTACTGGCATTGATCAGATGAAGTAGTACATGTCTAGAGCTGATGGTTTAAAATGTGACTCCAATAGGTCTCATAGATTCACATCCCAGAGGGTGAATGAAATCAATCCAGTGCCATTGATCTGCAGCTGGCTGTGATTTGTGGAGCCCTGCGGATGAGCGGTGAGTAGAAGCAACTACCTGAACTGCTGCCTGCTTCTGTTTGAGCCTTGAAAATAAATAATCTTTGAACAGAGACCAACCGTGACGGCTTTAGGTTAGGCTGGAAGCACCTCCGCAAATGCCACAAGGTACCTGACAAGCCACTGACATTACAAAGTTCACAATGCTGGAAGTGGAAAAAGGGCTGAATAGCGAGGTGATCATAAGAGGTTTCAAGAGAGGAAGGTGAGGAAGATACCTGAGTTAACAGAGATGGAGCAAGACTGTCAAAAGGGCTGGAGATTTGGAGGGAGTTCAGAGAAGGAGGGCAAAGCCAGAGGGAGGTGTGGAAGATGACACTTGTGAAGAAAGGCCATTGCGAGCAGGTCTGCTCTGTCTAAAGAAAATATGCACAAGGGAGACACAGTCACCTGCAAACACACAGAGGGGACTTATAAAGCAGCCAGCAATCAATTTTAAAATAATGGATCTTTAAATAAACTAGTAAGAGGGAACGAGGCTGGAATAAATACTTGATTTATCATCCCATCTTTTTATCTTGCAGCAGCGCAACTGTATTTCCTTCCCTGAGCTTCTCCTCTCCACCTCCTGAATCATAAAGTCAGGGCAGCATGTTTACAGCTGAGTCTCTCCCGTGATACAAGAGGTTTTATGGACCTGCTGGCCTCCTCGCCTGGCTGCTATTTCAAGCAGATGCTTCTGTTCCTGCTGCTCGAGAGCTTACCAAGTCCTGCTTGAAACAGCCATGAGATGAAATCAAGGTGGAGGACTGTTTTGAGACAGCAGAAAGCTGGTGGAGGACTTTTCTGGGACAGGACAGCATTTCATTAAAAAGCAGCAGGACCTCTGTCCATTTCCCTTGGACCAGGAATTTCTCCTTCCTTTAGGCAGCAGGTTTCTGGAGTGCTTCAGCAAGTCAATTCTGAACTTACCTCGATATAACTACTGGTCTCTACTTTGCTGTTGAGTTGGGACCCACCAAACCCAATGATTAATCCATATTGTGAGCATATAGGTTATTTCCTATGCCAATACAGTGAGCAAATACCTTCATCTCTTTTAGTTTGCAGTTCACACCTCCTTCCTCTTCACCTCTGAAACCTCTCTTGCCCCAGCTATCTGTCTGTGCTCCCTGTGTGCCCTGCAGGCCCTCCAGCTGCCTTCCGCAGGCTCCTCAGGACAGGCAAAGCAGACAGGAGGAAAGCAAACCAACCCTCTCTTACCAGGAAATAACAAATAACATAGTTGACCAAAAAGCTCACTTTCTATAGAGTAAATGCTCTAACAATTAGCTTTACTGAGCTGCCAGGTCAATGCAGGTCTCTCTTGATGTATGAGCTGGGAAGGTCAGTTTTCCTCCAACAGCCTCCAGTTCCTTGCTTGTACAGTGTTGGAAGGACTCCTCTCCTTCCTCTGCACAAAGACCAAAGGAGCTGTTCCTTCCTTCTGCTCTTTAAAAGGAGTCTGGCCATCACTGTGATGGATCCCACCTGAGTCTACTGGCCAGGAGCCCACAAGCTGCACCCACCCAGGCATAGACCCGGGTGCTGCAAGCACGTGTCTCTCACAGCAAATCATTTCTTTCCCAAAGGAGAAGTCGTGCTATGTAAATATGAGGATTGTAGCAGCTGATACCTGATAACTGTTCTTAAGCAGGACCCTTTACAAACGCAGATGAAGGCCCTTAGACCAGGTTGGACTGAGATCTGAGCTCTCCGTCTGTTTGCATCGCTGAAATGGTGTAGGAATAAATCCCACTTCCACTGCTGCTGGGTGAGATCTAGATATGAAAATAGCAGGGCCGGGCTCTCAGCTGGGGTGGGTTGTCATTTCTCCACGATCTGATGTATAGATTGAAGACACAAAGCTGTGTGTGCGTTTGCTCTTGCAGCGTGTCGGGGCGCAGCCCGCCTCGTACGCCGCGTGCTGTCCTCCGAGCAAAGCCGGACGCTGCTGCAGCTGGGAGAGCTCAGGGCTCTGAGCTTTTGTGGGGTGCACCTTGCAGCATGAGCAGATCAGCAGAGAGAGGAGGAGAGACTAGGACCTGGGGCTTTATCCCCTGGAAATAGAGGCATTTGCTTGTTTTATATGGTATTATGAACATATATAACTTGGAGACCAGGTTAATTTCTTAAAATCTCAGATAAGTGCTTTCCTTGCATAGATCTTAAAGACGGTGTGTGATTAAGAGTAAGATTCATGTAGGTACTTGGCCAATAACCTCTATTAAATTATCCATACAGCAGAGACAATGGCTACAAGTTGCAACAAAGCATAAATATGATGGTTTTTTTTCCCTTTTCTTTCCTATTTCCATATGAATTCTCCAGATTTTTCCACCATGTTCGGAAAGAAGAAGAAAAGACTCGAAATTTCTGGGCCCTCTAACTTTGAGCATCGGGTTCACACTGGCTTTGACCACCGGGAGCAGAAGTTCACGGGACTACCTCAGCAGTGGCACAGCTTGCTGGCGGACACGGCCAACCGGCCGAAGCCTATGGTGGATCCCTCATGCATCACTCCCATCCAGCTCGCGCCTATGAAGGTATTGTGCAAAGGCTCCTTTGCTTTTTCTGACCTACCTTTGATCGTGTGTAACCTTGACCATACCGCTCTGCCCGCCAGAGTTGAAATTGCACCAACAAACAGAAAATCTCTGCGGTGCAGAGAATGACTGTCCCAGGAGACTGGCACAGCTGGGGAGTGTGCAAGTACAGAGAGAGCTGCAAATCCAGATATTTAATAGGAGAGCTGCCAGGAAAAATTGTTGCGTGTATAAAACTTGTACGGACGTCCCAGAAGAGCATGCCATGGGTTTTGCAGGGGCTGTGCCTTTCCACTCCTAGGCTGTAGAAGAAAAAGCCACAAGTCTCGGTGGAGGCCCAAAACGATGCTGCTCTGCCGCATACAGCACTTTGATAATTAATTTAAGAACGATGCTTTAGGCAAAGGCAGTTTGGAGCAAGGGAGGGAGGGAGAACTACAGCAAAGGAAAAAAATTAAATTGCTTGTTCAGCCGGGCAAGCAGCTCAGGGAGGGATCTCATTGCCACCCACTGCTGCCTGGAGGGGTTAGCACAGGTGATGGAACTGAGCTGCTCACCGGGCGGTAGAAAGAGGGGAAACAGCTCCAGGTTGTGGCTTGGGAGGTTCAGGCTGGAGAGCTGGGGAAAAAACTTGACTCAGAGGGTAGAACAGCTCTGGACAGGGCACTAGTGTGGCTCTGGGATCCCCATCCTTAGAGGCTCAGGATTGCCCTGATTTAGCAGCATTTCTGGGATTGCACATCCGCACAGCCCAAAAAATCACACTCATGTGCTGGTGGTTGGTAGCCTATACCCTGCCAGCCATGTACTTCTCGCTGTCGTGCAGCTGCAAAACAAATTTAGGATTTCATTTTCATGTGGATTTTTCAGCAGCCAGAGAAAATCAGATAATCCCGAGAGCACAGACCCTGTTATTTATATTTGATAAGTGCTCTTTGCTAAATTTACATTTGCCGCCTGCTCCTGAAGGACGCTCATCACTTGCTGATCAGGATTGCTGAGTGTTGCTACAGGACAAGGGGGATAAAACAAAAGTCTTGATATTTTTTCTGTAAAAAAATACCTTACTGTGTAATGGAGGCTCAGAATAATGAGGAAAAAACTGGGCAAACATTTTCCTGCTGGGGGAGTAGAGCAACTTTGTTCCACAGCCCTTCTTAACACTAAAATATCCCTGGATGTTTTGACATGAATACATAAAGATGTTTTAAATGAAAAAATTTGAGTTTACTATCTTGCAGCAGTAGCATCTCTTTTCTGCAGTTCTGGACCCATAAATCCATATGCTTAAAAAGTTTTAAAATGTGTTAGCTTTCCCAGCACCATACAGACAACACAACTCTGGGTCTCAGCCTGCAAATGGACATACGTGTAGCTTGGTTCTTGTGCAGAGTCCCACTGAAGTGAACACACTGCAGGGTGTAAAAGATCACACCTCAAATGTGTAATTGCTGCATTTTGATGTGGAGAAAATCACTGTCAGTTGTTTCCAATAAATTGTCAATTCCTACTTTTCTGTCTGTACATCAGAGGTCTACATATGTCTGTATATCTAGAGTCTATGTATGTGCATATGCCAGGGATGTGCTTCTGAATTAAACCATCTCATGCTGGGAAAGGGCTGGGGCCAGGAGCTGGAATGCAGCTCCCAAGCCGAGCTCGTTCTTCCAGTGTAGCCTTGGCTGCAGTGGTCCTTGATGCAGCCGTGCATCCCACGACCTCTTCCCAGGACATGTGTCCCAGGGATAGGGTGCCTGCAACCTAGTCCCCATCTCAGCAGTGGCTGTGGGGCTGAGCACAAACAAGTCCATCTGCAGAGGGACCTGCCGGAAGGGTTTTCTGCATAGATGGAAGGTTTGAATTTGGAAGCGGATTACCCAAATGGCAGTTAATTGCATGCCACTGCTCCAGAGGTATAGTTAGACGAGGAAATGGGTTTAAGACTGAAGGGTTCAAGAAATTGTGCCTTCACCCTCCAGTTACTTTCCCCATCTGAGGCTCAATTACAGCCCGTTGAAATGGGCCTCCATAATAGTGCTAGAAAAACAGGTTAGTTTTAATAGCAACTGAGAGGCATTGACTGTCAGTTGAGAATTTCCTTTTAACTCGATTGCAAGATAACATTTTACTGCGTATTTATTAAGAATTAACTTGCCTTATTTTGATATAACTTAACTTATGGAGAGAAACTGAGTTGTGGCCACTTTAAAACTGAAGAATATTTAATGTTGCTAAACTAGTTCAGCATAAACATTTAATTTAGACAAATTGTTTATGTGTGCACATGCACCAACACCTTTAGTTCTCTTGAAAGGTGATTTAGGCACTGCGGATTTCATTACTTCAGAGAGAACTGAAGATTTTAAGATACACTTGGCGGCAGTTTGTGAAGATAGGAACCAAAGGCTCCAAGATCTCAGAATTGTTTACAACTTTTCTCTTTTCCACCCAGCAGTTGATAGTTTAATTAAAGCACTTGTGAACGCACTGAGGTGTAGCAGAAGAAGATTCGTAATTGTGTCCTGAGTCACAGTATTAAGTCAGGCTGAGGCATTTGGCCAGAGTTTGTTCATGCTGTGGTTTCAGGTCATACAGCAGCTCTGTAACTCCACTGTTCTGCACTCTTAAATTTATTCTCTGTTTAATTACTTCAGTATTGACTGCCTGTATGGTACGAGACAGAAGCA